CGGTGGTATTAGATCCCGAGTCACGGGCACATGGGACCTGAAGCATGTTGACTTACCCGCTCAAGGAACTCATAAGACGGTGTTGACGATCTACTGGTTGGTAGGCAACAAACAATCCATGCCTGTAAGTTAATGGACAAAGAAAAGAATATTCATGGCTTTCTCATTTTCCAGAGGAGGGCCATTTTTTTTAGGATTTTTTTCGTTTTTTTTTTGGAATTATTTTTGTTTTTCAGGGTCGGTGGCTTTTCGGCTTTTTGGCTTTTGTGGCTTTTCATTTCGCATCATCTGCATTCACAGTTCCTCTCTTTTCGCATCCTCTGCATTGCCAGTTCCGCTGCGGCAGGTGGCTTTTTGGCTTTTTGGCTTTTGGCGGCTTTCTGGCTTTGGCTTTTCGCATCCTGATGCTTTCCCAGTTGGTTTTTGGCCTTGGCTTCCTGCATCATCGGCATCGCAAGTTCCTCTCTGGGCCCCCCGCCACCCCCCTTTCGATTAAAATGCACGCCTAATTGAATCATCACTTTTTCGATCATCATGCGACAGCTACTTTTTAGATTCTTTGCCCCTATTTTTTCGATCATCATGGGGGGGGGTGGCTGAGGTTTTACAGGGATTAGTTTGCCCGCATTTGAATCCTCACTTGTACCATGAGGCCTTACCGCAGAGGAACTGATGACCCCCATTTTTTGGACTTTTTGCCCCTAATTGAATCATCACTTTTTCGATATTTTTCGATCATCACGGGGGGGGCTGCCGCCCCCGCCAACCCCCCCCCGCGCCTTTAATTGAATCATCACTTGTTCAATCATCATGGAGGGAATTGCCGGCCCCCCCCCCCCCCCCGCTACGTTTTAAGTGTTTTACAGGGATTAGTTTGCCCGTGTTTGAATCCTCACTTGTACCATGAGGCCTTACCGCAGAGGAACTGATGACCCCCCTGCTGCTTTTTTTTATAAATATTGTCTTGGCCCTAATTGAATCATCACTTTTTCAATCATCATGGGGGGGGCTGCCGCCCCCCCCAACCCCCCGCGATTTTTTGGACTTTTTGCCCCTAATTGAATCATCACTTTTTTCGATCATCATGCGACCGCTACTTTTTAGATTCTTTGCCCCTAAATTTTTCGATCATCATGGGGGGGGCTGCCGCCCCCCCAAACCCCCCCGCATTTTTTTATGACTTTTTGCCCCTGATTGAATCATCACTTTTTCGATCATCATGGGGGGGGCTGCCGCCCCCCCCAACCCCCCCGCTATTTGTTGGACTTTTTGCCCCTAATTGAATCATCACTTTTTTCGATCATCATGCGACCGCTACTTTTTAGATTCTTTGCCCTTAATTTTCGATCCCCGCAATTTTTTAGACTTTTTGCCCTGATTGAATCATCACTTTTTCGATCATCATGGGGGGGGCTGCCGCCCCCCCCCCAACCCCCCCCCGCGCCTTTAATTGAATCATCACTTTTTCAATCATCATGGAGGGAATTGCCGCCCCCCCCCCCCCCGCTACGTTTTAGGTGTTTTACAGGGATTAGTTTGCCCGTGTTTGAATCCTCACTTGTACCATGAGGCCTTGCCGCAGAGGAACTGATGACCCCCGGCTGCTTTTTTTTAATATTTGTTGGCCCTTTTTGAATCATCACTTCTTCAATCATCATGGGGGGGGCTGCCGCCCCCCCCAACCCCCCCGCTATTTGTTGGACTTTTTGCCCCTAATTGAATCATCACTTTTTCGATCATCATGCGACCGATCCTTTTTAGATTCTTTGCCCTTAATTTTTCGATCATCATGGGGGGGGCTGCCGCCGCCCCCAACCCCCCCGCAATTTTTTAGACTTTTTCAATCATCATGGGGGGGGCTGCCGTCGTAACTTTTTCAATCATCATGGGGGGGGCTGCCGCCACGTTTTAGGTGTTTTACAGGGATTAGTTTGCCCGTATTTGAATCCTCACTTTTACCATGAGATGCGGGAAGCCAATTTGCTGGTGATGCTGGGGATGTTGGCTGGACATGCGGGGGATGTTGAAAACGATGCTGATGATGTTGACGGACTAGCGTAAAATACGTACATTTCGCGAGAAAATGCTGTAAATTACAGCATTTTAGTAGCCAGGACGGAACACAAAAAAAAATCCCAAAATAAAACAAAAAAAAAAACCAAATTAAATCTCGACCCTTTTCCAGATCCACTAGTTGTCCAACCCCAGCAAGTAACCATGGTTGTAACGGTGGCTAAGGTGACCAGGACTCGATTTCAAGAAGCTCCGTATATTACCCTTCCACCAGCTAACATGGAAGTGCACCGACCCCTCTAAAAAAAAACTACGTTCCTCTTGGAAAGGGCCTTTTTGCACAAACCCATGTTAGTTGGTGGGAGGGTAGCTGGCTTCCAGAATTACGTCCCCTTCTTTTATGGTTTTTGCTTTTTTGGGTTCTTTTTGTTTTCCACTAACCAGGCAAAAACATATTTGTTGCTGGGGTCACAATTCCAGCCAAGGTTTCTTAGAAGAAAAAGTGTCCACCACGTAGGCGACCATCAGCTACCTTCCACCACAGCTGCTCGCGGAGGCCATGTGACTTGCAGCGACGTATGCTGGTTGACTGGGGACTGGTGTGCATGTCTTCATGTGTGTGTGTGTGTGCACTGATGTGTGCCTATGTTATATATATATATATATATGTGTGTGTGTATGTATGTGTATACACTTATATATGTGTGTGGTGCATCTATATCTATATAGGACTAAATTACGTAGATATCAGAAAGCATACGTACCCCCACCAGACCGATTGTAGTGTTGCCCTTGGCTCATGCCTTGCTAGACTCTTTGCCCTTTGTGTGACCGCTTTGGGTTTGCATGAGCTTCCAAGTTGGGGCTAAATACATGGTTGTATCTTTCACGCTCAGACCCCCTGGCATGTGGAATTCTCAGCGACAAGATCGAAGTAGAGGAATCCGAACAAATCGACGGCAACTGGGGGTTCAGACAGCTACCGGAGAAGAGATACGGGTGCCAGCCCAGCCGAAGGGAAGGCCCTGAAAACCCAGTGTGACTCATCGGTCGCTGTCTGTTGCCACCTATCTGACATCTATGCCGAATGTGTCTTTGCTTACGTGCATTGGTACATATGATTTTGAGATGGATCTGAACACATGAGAGCTTGTACATGTGTGTGGTTACCGATTGAGAGAACGAGTATGGGCGCAGGGCACTTTGAAGGACCAAGGATGCTAAATGTTTAAAGCTGAAGGTAGGAGCATGTAGGAGCTTTAACGCCCTGTTGGATTGAGGATTGGACATTCCCAGAACGCTGTGTGAATTTTCCGGGCGCCCCTTTGTGCGAGCTGAAGGAGGGCTTTCATGCATCGGGTTTTCCGTGGTAACGGTGTGACAGGAGCCATGAGGACCTTGAGTCCCTCCAATCCAATGATCCAAGCCCCCCCTCTAGATACCAAGCCCGGCACATGATCTGCATGCTTTCAGAAGCTGGCCTGCCTCTCTGTGCGGCTTCGCTTGCGGCCATTGATCCCCTCGCCCCCTGAATTATCCCTCCGGACCTGTCACACCGGAGACATGTGTCCGGAGGGCAATTTCGTCTTGACAACAAGCGGACACCGCCGGAAACGAGCGGAAAATGGCCGCAACTTTCACTAGCCTAAAGTTTGGTTCTGCCTCGATCCAAAGCAAACACACGCGCCAAGGAGGCTCTACACGGTGCATCCCAAACCCAAAAGCACAACCCCCCACCCCACCCCCAAAACAACAACAAACAAAACATGCGCGGTATGTTGGGGGAGGTTTGCCCCCTTTTGTTTCACTTCTTTTTAAGTATTTTGCTACCACCTGCACCAAATGGGCGTAGCACAGCTTTATCGAACGTCAGTCTCTCAGAGACGTCTTCTCCTTTCGGGGGGATGCTTTGCGAATGGCAGGAGAATACCTGAGAGAAGTTGCGTGCGGTTGGGCGTGGCCCTGTTGGGTTGTTAGAAAGGGAAATTGAAGGGAAACCAACCAATTGTACGTTTACATGCCTCTCTCTCTCTCTCTCTCTCTATGTGACTGTATACGCACATGTGTATGCATGTTCCACCATATTGTTACGAACTTGTCAACAAGCAATGTGTGTTCAATGGTGAATGTATATCTTGAATTGTTCCTTTCCGAAACTGCCAACGGGTGTGTTTGCTGTTGGCAGCCACATTGGCAATTCGCGCGCGCAGGCTGGGTCCAAAAGACGAGAACGCCTGGAAGTTGGTCGCGGCTTTGAGTGCAGGTGCCTCTTAGACTCTTTGTTTCATGTCTAACCAGCCACTGGAAAATCTACGCCTCGAAGCCTCTTGTTTGCAGTGGTTGTCTAGTTTCCTGTAGAATGTCCTGGCTTCTTTGGCACGTGAATGGAGGGACGTTCTCCCTGCCTCATTCAGAGAATCAGCCAGCATTTTGCCAGCCTGAACTTGCGTGGTGCTCGTGTTTTGTACAGCCCTTTTTGTTGTATCACAGATTCGTGGATTCCACGTCAACAACTCAACCACAGCTGATGTAGATTGACCATCTGAGGTAACCGATGTTGGATACTGGGTCCTTTGCGTTTTCAGGGGATCCCTGGGTTCATTCCCTGCTCTTCCTTTGGCAACCCAAAAGCGAGTGCCAAACGCCAGGTGCTCGAAGTGCCTGGCAGAAGTTGCTGAGTGAATGGCCGCGTTCGCGACTCACCGGTTTGGGAATAGCAATTGTTTTCCTGAGGTAACCTTAATTCGTTTGGCTTGGTGATTTGGGAATTTGGATTTGATGCTTCTTGTAGAGTAAAGGGAAAACCACCAATCCAAACCACCAAAAAAATGGACACCTTTATCATCTTTTGCTAATAGTTGGGGGACCTATTCATAGCAAGCCTCCGACTTGCCAAAGCAACACGCTCGTCGGGCAAAAGAGATGACGCTTGCAGCTACACGGCGTGCTTGCCAATCTAAGAGCCCCTGCGATCAAGCGTGGCTCAGGACAGAGAATGCCTTAGTGGAAATGGCTGCTTGGCAGCTCCTGGCAGTCAGGGCGAACAGATTTCTGGGATAGCAGCTGTTAGCCGGAATTTCACGGGGTTCAATATGTTGATTTGACTCAGGTGTTTTGCGGACTTAGATGAAGGGGGTGATTGAAAATAGGGATCCACACCCTCTCTGACAGGCGCGGCTTGGCGTAGGTGCCAAGCGACTGGCATCTCAGGCGGAGCAGTTTGTGGCCGGCGCGGCTCAGACGCCGCCAGGCCGCGAGACTCAGTGGCGCCGACTCATGCAGTGACTGACGGGCCGGACAAGCCGTCCGATTTTTGGGGAGTGTTTCCCGAAACGCTGGGCCCGGGTTCTGAATTTGTGAGAAGGTAGCGACAAATCCACCGTTGAAGCCCTTACTTGCATTCCAACTACTTCAAGAGGACAGATCAACCCTTCAAGCGATTCCTTGCATTCAGCAGGCAGGCCCACGACACCCCAAACTTCCGCCCATTTTTGGTTCGACCTGGGCAGGTCGGCCAGCCGCCAAGGAGCAGGCCACCTTCGGTGCGCCGAAGGCCCAGGCCCAGGCCGCCCAGGCCGACGTCAAGGCCAGCGCTTCCTCTGCGGCCAAGGGCCAGGCCAAGGCCAAGGGACTGGCGAAGGCCAAGGGCGTGCGCCCAGAGGAGCTGCTCTGCAAGAATGGGCGCCCGAATTTTTTTCTGCCTGGAGGAGTTGGACTGCAAGAGCTAAGAACCAGATATTACCTTTTGGATGCAACGGCAGAGAGAGAGAGAGAGAACAACAAGTATTCAGTCTGTTTCAAGAGGTCTGGGGGGGCCCTGTCGAGCTTTGGAAATCTGATGGAGCTTTCCTGGCACTCAGGTTTCTGCACTCCAAAGGCCCTCCACCCAGACGGCCCAAAGCTGCGCCAGAGTCGAGACAGAGCGAAGTGGAGAAGCGGCCTGCCCGGCCTGTTTGATTCTCCACTTGTAAGATAGGTACTGGCAGCAACTTGCCCCCAGCACCCATGTAATACAGCCCTCTATTCTGATATGGCTGTGGCTTAAAATTCAAGAGCTAGGGTTACGCGGCTTTTGTCTTTGGTGCCATTTACCAAGGTGTCTCTTTGGGAATTGCATTTATTTGAGCCACAGCCATATCTACATGTTTTTGAAGTGTGCAGTTTCTCCAAAGCCCCGGCAGTCGTTTGTCGTCTCTCTGGTTGCCTGCAGGAAACGTCCGTCAACGCCCAGCGGAAGCAAAGGACCCAGCTGCGTTCCCTGCCTGTTTCAGCAGGCCACCGCTTCACTTCTGCCAAAAGCTGCAGCACGTCCAAATTGTAGGTGTGTTATGATATGCACCTGTATGTATGTATAGGAAGGATAAGAAAGCAAACTATGATGATAACCATGATGATGATGATGATGGTGATGATGATAATGCCGATGATGACAACTATGGTGATAACTATATTGTGGCATCCTCTGCATTGCAAGTCGGGTCTAACGTCATACTGGAAATGTGTATACCAGATAGATTGGAAAGATAAGAAAGATAAGAAAGAGACGCTGATGACTAGAATGATGTCATAGCTTCTCTGGCATTGCAAGTGGCGCAGGCAGATGATGAAGATAAGAAAGATAAGAAAGAGACAATGATAACTGACTAGGACGATGATGATGAAGATCACTATGATCATAGCATCCAAGTGGCGCGAGCAGATGATGATGAAAACCACAGTGGTGATGATGATGATGATGATGATGATGACGATGAATGACCATGTTGCGTTGCAAGCCGCGCCGGATATAGATTTCTTACACATCTTGTGGAAATTGAAAGCCTACAACTGCACTGATGATAATAGTGACGGTGATGAGGACCCCAGCAGGAACTAGGATGATGATGATGATGATGTTGATGATGCTGATGATGCTGATGATACTGGTAACGATGATGAGGACCCCTGCAGGAGTTGCTATAATTATGACCAACACCCTTCCCGTGTGCCTTGCCCTTGTAGACAAGGTGTCGGTGGATATATTATGTCGCTGGGGTGGGTGATCCTCTCACTGCCTGTTGAGAACTGCACGTGGACACGCCCACGTATACATATATATGTATATATCACTTCTATATATTATATACATATATACACGTATTTCAACTTTTTTTTGTATAAATCAAATAGTTATATATATATATATTTACACTCGCATGCGTGCGCACCCACACATGCATACACAATCCTCCCTGTTTATTTGACACACAAACACAGCGCCATTCCGCAGGACCTCCGCCAACCTTCAGTGTCGGTGACCTTGTGCCCCTTCCTTAGCTGGGAGGTGCATGGCCGTGACATCGGACCTAGGATCATACGCCTCGGTCCTTCCCCGCGTCCCCATGTCAATGTGGCAGAGCGAAGTTCTCACTCCAGTTGCGTGACTCTCACATGGTTTTGGGGAACAAGATGATCCCATACATTTGGGAGGGGGGGTTGTCTCTCACATGGACTTGAAAAAAGGGGGGTTTGAGAAAAAAACATGTGCGTTTCGAGGGAAAAATGTATGGGTGCTCCCTCGAGGCGCTATTGGAGCGGCTCCAAAGGCTGGACGCTTTGTCCGGAGTGTCCCCAGTTCAGCAGTCGAAATCAGGCCGGTAAATGGCCTCCCCTTAGGATTCCTAGACCCTTGCTCCATGAAGCTAAGCCAAAAGCTGGGGTGAGCTACGGATACTATGGAGCACTTGGCAATCGGAATGGGACAAATGAGCTCGATTCGAAGGCTGTGTGTGTGACACCCTTTGAATGGCTAAACTTGGTTGTGGTCTTTGACCGACTGCCTGACTAGCAAGACAAAGTGAAGATAAACTACTGTGCAGTGTTTTCCTGGAGTGTTTTCCTGTGGCATGCGCTGCGCGACGAAAGCTGTGGAGCGAGGCAAATGGATCAACACTTCCATCAAGGCAGTGCACAAAGATAGCTCCGGGCAAGTTCGTGCCTATGCTGCTTGTTCGCATGGGAGTGAGGAGTGAGGAGTGACCATTGTTCGCAATCACGTGCCCAGGATTGCTCAGGCAAGCTGGGGGCCGCTGTGAACAAGGCCAGTTCTTGGCTTGGAGTCTCCGTGGGTTGGGTGCCTTGTCTCCGCTTAGGTGCGGGCGCGGAAGAGCGCACCAGCGGCCGCGCCCGCGGCCCCCGACGCGAATGACGCGAATGACGCGAATGGGTCGGGATCAAAGAAGCTCCAGGCCGAAGCCACGAGCCGGCGGAAACTAGGACTGTGTGCAGTCCTTGCTCACTGTTTCACTATCAAACCACTGGGCTCCAAAATACTGTCCAAGGGGATAAACCTCCCTAACCACCAAACCACCAAGAGGGGGGTCTTGTGGAGGGCAAATGGGTGAGCAGGGAATGAGAAATGCAATGACCCCTATGAACCATCCAACTGGTGGTCCACTAGGGAATAAGGGAATGACCCCTATGAACCGTCCAACTGGTGGTTTCCTTTGAGGGCACCCCCAGGTTCATTCCCTGTTTTTCTCCTGCCGAGCACCAACAAGAGTCGCAAAGTCTCGGTGGCCAGCCTCACTCTGTGACCAGTCCCGCGAAGGATTGAAGCAAAGCAAGAAGATGCAGCCAAAGGCGCAGCACTGTGACGGTCAAGCGGAGGCACTTTGCATACTACTCGCGGCTCAGGCCTTTTGCTTACCTCTTAAAAACACAACTTTTCAACTTTTTGGGTAACATGGCCTATATGTCTTTAAAAGATTAACTTCCCCAGGGCGCAGGGAGTTTTCAGGGGTAAGTTTGATGAGACTGCAGAACCACTGGTGGAGTTCTTGCACCCTTCAACTAGAAGTGAGAACTCTCCAGCATAAACACGTGCGAAACTTGCAATATATGAAGCGTGCTGATTGTAAATTGTCCAGGCATGCTGAACTCGACCACGTCCCGCCAACTTCCCGCTGCTTACAACGGCCGTTTCCCGGCACTATTGTTGGCACGGGCCTTCGTCAAACACCAGCTGTTGCACACCAGAAGCTGCCTAGCTGCCCCAGCTACAGCTTGTAACTTAGCTTCAATCCGACGATGTCGTTGAAATCTAGATGAAGGCTTGTCAGGGTGGTTCAATCGAAATCGGGTCGCACATGTTGCTGTGCGCCTCGAGCCAAGCTCATTGGCTCCTCTCTGTTTCAAGCAGGGCTTGATGGCACCCCAAAGCGCAGTGCCAGAAATCGATTCGCACTTCCACAGGCCATATGGCCTATGGCGTGGTTCCGTTGAACATGTTGCGGACCTTTGGATGCAAATCAGCGAGGCCGATTTGAGTGATCCAACGTACCGGTTGGTTTTGTAAGTCCCCTTAGGGAGCGGCGTTTTGCAAGTGGCTCCATGACATGCAGCCATAAAGCTTCACCAGCTTACCCACAGCGGGTTGGGCTCTTCTGCAAAAAGGGAGCGGGGCTCAACCAACTAATCAAAGGGCACATCTCCTCTTTCGGCCCCGTTTAAAAGGCCGTGTGCTTCCATTTGCTCAAGCATACTGGTTATATTTTATCCTCTTGGTTTTAAAGGTAATCCAACTACTGGAAATATCTTCTGTTTTTTGCAGGGGGCTTAAGCACATGGAGGTTATCCCCTGGCCATATGATTCATTGCCTGTGGGCCGTCCATGCGCTGGCGGATGTGTCCAGCCAGAGCGCCTCGGCGGCGTTGCTGGGCTGGGCGGCCCGTGGGCAGCTGGAGAAGATGAGTGACGCGTTGGCGCGCAACGCCGACGTGGCGCACAGCGACGCCGGAGGCAACGGAACTTTGGTGCATTTGGCTTGGATGTTAGGACTTCATTTTTTTGCCTACTACTGGGGTTTCCATTGAACCACTAAAAGTTAAACTTTCAGCAGGGGAGCAGCAAATCCCCACCAAAATAGACTAAAATGGGTGGTGCACCTACGCCAAAATGGTACCATTGTTGTTGACCCACGGCCAAATGAGAGGAGAGTCTCTACGCAAGCCAGGGCCCGAAGCCATGATGCACGCTTCGCTGGGCATGTGAATCACACACACACATGCCTGCCAAGTCACAAGCGCACCTTCGCTGCGCAGAGTCGCCATTGCACCGCACAAGACTTTCTGAGAATGGACTAGCCGGGATGACTCAAAGCTGTCAAGAAGTTCTCAAGCAAGCGGTTGAGTCTTGAGATGTCTTGAGCACACAAACGCCCACCTAGATTCCCTTCAAGTTGGTAGCGCAGATGTTTTGTTGACTCAAGATGAAGCGCATATACTTCCTTGCCGGCCACATGTTGCCTTGTTTCTGCGAAAACCGATACCAACCACGACACAGGGGTGTTTGTTTTACCCCATCTTCAGCTTTCGGAATCCGAGAGGGGATTTGTTTCATCGCACAAGCCACAGATGAGGAAACCCTTAGTTGGTGGTTTGGGAAGTTGAACCCCCTGTCCTATCAACAAAAAAAAAAGGAAATGGGAACCCCTTCCTTAAGCGCCAAACCACCGATTCGGCTCCACACTTGGAGGAAGCTGAAAAGGGAGACCCATACGCTCCTCCAACTAACATGGCACCTGTGGGGAGGTACCTGGAAGATCAAATTCCTTTTGAAGGGACCCCCTGTCAGTTGCCATGGCAAAGTGGGAGGGAGGTAGTTCCCACCATCTTTTCCGCAGGGGTCACTGCCCTGCACCTGGCCAGCCGCAACGGTCACCTGGCGGCGGCTGAGCTTCTGCTGTTGCACAAGGCGCCGGTGGATGCGGCGTCGACGTCTCAGCTACGACCGTTGCACCTGGCGGCCGTGCAGGGCCACGCCGAGGCAACGGGCCGAACCAAAGTTTGATGAACTTAGGACCATAGGTGTCCTTTTCATCGGTTAGTGTGGTCAACAATGGATGGGTTCCACTGGTTTACATGGGTTTTATTCCATCTACCAGGGCCCTCTATTTGTCCAAAAGGACACCTATGGCCATGACTCACTTCCTGGGTTGGACTTTAGTCACTCTTTGGGCTTGGACCCATTTTAGTTTGTAAATAAAAACGGTTTGGTGACTTTTTTGGGCCATCCACTTGGGCAGTGAGTATGGCTACGACTTTTCCTGGGAACCGATTTCCAAAGTTGTTGTCCTGGACATGAATCGGGACGTGCCGAATTTGGGCACCCGGGCCCCAGGGAGTTATGCCCATATGGGTATGGGTCAAAATTAAACCACCAGGGGACCGCAGGTTTTAGTCCATGTTTCCATTTTCTAGGGGTTCGATTTTGGGTGCCGATTTTTGACCCACAGCCATATTATGTTGTTTTCGTTCAGCAGTGGCTGGAACCGAAGGAAAAGTTGAAACTTTCAAAGCCCTTAGATTTGAACCAGAAGGCAGGTGGATTCAAGCAACCTCTTATTCCACGAGGGATTCCACCCCCCAAACCGCGCCCCTTAAGTTGGAAAGCTGGAAACATACCAACTACCAACTGATATAGTGGTTATCTTGCGGTGATTCCCCAATGCGCTTGCAGGTTTGCGGGGGTAGTGGGAATAAGCTGGGGCTAAAAACTTGGGCCGAAACGCGCTGATGCATTCATACATATACATTGTTGGTATACTATATGGTCTTCTGTGAAACTTCTTCTGTCCAAGTGGCAGGCGCATTGCATGTCCACATTTTCAGGGGGTGTTGGTGGCCGGACCCTGGCTGCGTGCAAGAAGCATTGTGCTGGAGGAGGTTTTGACCAAAACGCCTGCATGACGGCATGCACAGAAAAAAAGGGGTTGCCGGTTTCAAAACCATGGCTGGAGGATGGCACGTGGTTGCTTGAAAGAGAGACCTGGTTACTTGGGTGCCCACTTGATTGCCCCTGAGCCCCTGACCACACAGTGGCTTGTCCAGCTGTTTGAAGGAGTCCCTTTCCAACCAATTGTGAGTGGTACCCCGGGCGCCCATTCAAAACTCTCATGGAGCCCAAAGTCTACTCATACTGTGGATGGACAAAATCCTGCACCACTGGGGATAGACGAAGCCCTGGAAATAATGCGATAAACCACCCACCAACTGGCCAACCCATCTTGAGCCCTCCCGTTGCTCTAAGGGTCCCTTTGGGCCCCAAACGGGGGCCCTAGACCAGGTGGTGCTGCGGTTGCTGCAGGCGGGCGCGGACCCTGCAGCGGGCCACTCGGCTGCAACAAATCCAAGCGACTTGAAACAATGCTGCTTTCTGTAAGGAACTAAATGAGGGCTTGGGGTTTACCATAACAATTACCATAACACTACAAGTGTCATGGCAATCAGCCCATTTGATTGCAATTGGCAGATGCAAGAATGCAGAGGATGCAGGAATACATCTGGTTCTGGGGGTGGTTGCGGTGCTGATTCTGAGAATGATCAGCTGTCCAAGAGCCCGGAGTGTTGTTCCTTGACATTGTTTTGGCGAGGTTGGTTTAGAAAATGTTCTGCGAATAGTCATGGGGTCTTTTTGAGCAGATGTTGCTATCCACCCAAGAGTCACCTTGTTTTTTGCCCCAGGCAGGTGAATAAAGGTTCCACTGTGTTAGGAGTTGAGCATGAAGGCTGGTCTCAGCAGGAGTCCTTTTTCACTGTTCTGTATGAGAGCACCCGTTGAGAAGCTCCACGTCTCGCCGCGAAATGGCTGGTGACAATTCCATGCCAAAGTCAGGCTGCAAAAGCAGTTAGGAACTCACCCAAATTTGGGCCCATACCCATACCCAAATTACGGCCCTTTTCTGGTCGCCCCTTGAAGGAAAGGCTCCCCAAGGATCGGATTTGAGGCGACGGGGAGCAGCAGCAGGCGCTGCATCTGGCGGCCAGGGAAGGAGCCCTGGAAGTGGTGCACCTCCTCCTTTTCGCCGGAGTGTGGAAGCCCGGACCGGAGGGGCGAAAGCCGGAGTTCGCGGGTTCTTTGTGTTTTATGTGCGCTGTGTGTTGCTGTTGGGCGGGGGGGGTACGTGTGTGTGCGTTTGTTTGTTTTTTTGGAAGGGGTCGGGGGGGGGGGGGGTTGGTGGCTTTTCGTTCCCTTTCCAAGAGTTTTTCATGAAGTTGTAAGAATTAAGCAGAAGCTGACCTTGAACAGCTTCCCGCGATTGAAGGCAACCGATGTTGTTTCAAAAACTGTCATTTGAAGGACTGGTTGGAAGAGGGTAGGGATGAGAGTCAGTGCAGTGCGCATCCCTACTCTAGGGAATAGTCAGGTGTTAGGAAGTGTGGAGGCTCTATACCTCGCTCGTTAAGGGCACGCAAGTCTCATTACCGAGCAGATGCCCCGGCAAAACGACAGTCTCATGACCCCCTTGAATTCAGCCAACCTTTGCAAAAGGTCAGCTAGATGCATTGGAATCGGCAGCAATTGGGGTGTGCAGCCCTGCAATTGTTGGTTTGCCCCTCTCGCCTTAAACAACATGGGAGTGCACAAACTCCCTTCCCAAGAAGTTATGTACCTGTAGCACAAAGGGATTGTGCGCTTCCATGTGGCAAGGTATGTGCTTCAATGTTTGCAAAGATGACCGCAGGTATGTTGCCTTTGAGTATCTGTCAACTGGATAATGGTGAATACGCTATTCTTGAGGCACAGCCAGCTGACATTCGCCCTTAGTTGGTGGCTTGGGGATTTGGAGCGTGTCTTCGCCGAATGCCGAAAAGCGCGAAAGCGGCACGCAAACCGCGAAGAACATCTCCATCCAAGTTGCGAAGCACGCGTTGCTGGAGCTCGACATGCAAACCATTGTAGAGGATTTATAGCTCAGATCTCAAGATAACATTGCAACAGCCGCAAGTTGTTCGACCTCGACACGCATGATCGACTTAGAAGGTTCTTCCAGGTCAAGATAAAGTTGCACAAGCCATGAGTTGTTCGAGCTCAACGTAAATAGTTCAGAGATTCATATACAGACAGGGTTCATCGGGATCAAAGCAAATCTGCAAAAGCCACGTGCTTGTTCGATCTTAACATACATACTCCACCATCATTGGTAGAAATAATGCATTTGAAAGACGAGCTAGAACATGTGTTCAAACACAAAAAATACTGATATAAACATGTATTAATGTCATTGAAGTTTCATTCCGAGCGCGAAAACGCAAGAACGTGGACTGCGCGAAAGCCGAAAGCTCGCAAAGGGCCTGCAAAACACGAAGACATCCGAAAAAGACAATGGCCACCGATTCGTTAGACAACACCTTGGCAAAAGAAAAGCGGGGAGTCGCCAAGCCCAAGCTGAGCAGGTCGCAGTGAACGACCTTTTTGTGGAAACAGGAAAGCTCCGACGATGGCCTGCAAAACGCCAAAAAAAAAGCAAATACATGATGGTGGGTTTCCCCAGGTGAAGCAAAACGCCAAAAAATGATGGTGGAGGTTTCCCCAGGTGAAACTACGCAGAGATTCCCCGAAAAAAGACGCACGCGGATGCGCGCGCGCGCCACCTGGCCAGGTGGAAGGCGCGGACGCGGACGGGCTGACGCCGCTGATGTGGTCCGCGCTCCGCGGCCACGCGGCGGCCGCGGAGCTGCTGCTGGCCGCCGGCGCCGCGGTGGAGCCGAGGGACGCCGCCGGGCAGACGGCGCTGCACTGGGCGGCCCGGGGCCACCCCCAGGCGGGAGCCGGGGGGGGGGAGGGTTTTGGGGGGGTTGTGGAAAAGGCCAGGGAAACCCACGAGATTTGCTTCACACGCATACATATACATGCAAATACATATGTAGAAGTATAAAACAGGTAAGAAGGCTTCAAGAAAGAGAAGGTAGATCATGGGGGAAGGGCTGACCATATGTATATATAAACATATATATATATATTGTTATATTGTACGGGGAATGGTTCTTTGGACTCTAACTTATTGGTTGACACTTTTTGGTGATTTCCAAGATGGACCCATAAAGAAGCAGTTGAACACTTCGTGCAGTGTGTCGTTTGGTCAGGGCTGCAGCTTTGAGCTTTGGCCCGCTAAAAAAAGGGCGCTTGCCGTTGTGTGGCCTTTTGGAGTTCCATGTTGATTGGGGCGCTAGATAGTTGGGCCAGATGGAATTCTCACTTGTCAACCTTCTATTTCCAGGTCCTTTGGGCAACTCAGAATTGCGGAGCCCGCTCATCCAGGAATTGAACGGTACCGAGACATGGCAAAAGACGGGTAAGGCTTTGCCCATCCTCATGGGCATGTAGCAAAACTGGAATGGCCCCCAACATGGTGGTTCTTGTGTTGTTTCCTTTAAACTCCAAAAAGGGTTCCCTTAAAATCGCACGGTTTCCCTAGTGTTGTTTCCTTTCTTGTGGTTTCCCTTTAAACTCTAAAAAGGGTTCCCTCAAAAAAGCACTCGCCCGATGTCTTTGTCGGACGAGGTTGCGCACCTCTTGTTGGCCTTCGGCGCCCAAGCCGATGCAACCGACCACGAAGGCCGGTCGAAGCGCAGAATGGTTGTTTGTTTGCTTGATTGCTTGATTGCTTGATTGCTTGATTGCTTGTTTGTTTGTTGGTTTGTTTGTTTTGGTTAGGTGGTTGGTTGGCATGTAAGTATGTATATAACAATGTATGGAGCCTCTGGAAAATGGGAACTTCGGACCATGTTGCCTCTTTGATATTCTGGATGGTTGCGAGATCCATGTCGCACCACCGTTCAGACATTTGGAAATGGTTCGACTTCCCTTGTAAATTTCAGCGTGTCCACACTGGTCAAGCATGGCTTCCACTTGGCGCGACCTGGATTTTGGTCCATCGGTATGTCATGATGTCAGACGGCCACCCTCGGCTTCTGGAGTTGCATGCTGCTGAGGCCGGACGCCTGCGGATTGGGCCTGGCACGACGAGGAGTTTCAGCTCTACGAGCTGCTGCTTTGGAGGGCCGGCGGGCAAGTCACGCAGCTCCCTCCGACGCCTCGAAAATGGATCGTGGAAGTTCCGCCGGAGGGAGAGGAAAAAAAAGCAGCCTTGGGGGGATGGCGGGGGTGATGCCGGTCGAATTCTGGGGTGCTTACTGGAGTGACAATCAAAACCCGGAGAAGTGAAGGTTAGAAAGGGAAAGAGCCAGCCAGAATTAGTTGCGGCTGCCTTTCTAGTTCTTTACATGGCTTTGGGTGAACCTTTTTTGTGCCGAGTTTCGACACACTTGGTGATGGCACGAACCTCAACTTGGTTTCATTTGCAGTTGGCACAGATGTCACCAGATGCCAGGCTCTGAAGGAGCTGCATGTCTTCCAGGTGCACGAGCGAGCGTGGTACTGGAGCCTTGTCGCAGCGGGGGTAAGTGCAAGGGAAGGATGCCGGCCCGTCATACCTGTGTTCACCCGGCCATGAGAGAGACCATTGCCATCCAGTGCTGTGGCTTGCAAAGTGTCCATCATACTCAGGAGCAGCCAGCAAAAGACGCTTGCCTGCAGGTAGTGGCCAGCTGGTGAGGATAGGCACACACGCCCAAACATGTGCAATTTGCTTGTTGGTTGGTTGGCGGGTTGGGTTCGGTTGGGATGGGTTGGGTTGGGTTAGTTGCCGGGTCAATCATGATGGTCTTTAGTCATGCCTTCCTTCCTTCCCTCCTTCCTTCCTTCCTTCCTTCCTTCCTTCCTGCCAGGTTGTTCTGTTGCTCTTTTCTTTTCTTGTGGTTGCTTTGTTTGTGTACGTGTTGGTTTGTTTGTCCATTCACTTGTTTTTGTTTTTTGTCTTTCGTACTGTTTGTGTGTTTGTTTGTCTGTTTGCTTGCTTGCTGCTTTGCTTGGCTTGGCTTGGCTTGCTTGCTTGCTTGAACTTCTGCCTGCACGGTTGACCCATGGCCACAAACCAATTTCATCACGCAAAGCCACGTGCAGCTTCTTCACGCGGTTGCCACATGCAGCCCCCTTCGCACGAAGCCGCCAGCGCGCAAACACAGGAAGTGGCTGCATACCAGGATCCAGGGTGTCAACCTGGGCCCCGACGGCCCCTGGCCTCAGAGCCTCAGAGCCTCAGAGCCTTCGCCGTCGAGGCCCCGAGGCGCCGAGGCAGCGCGCACTGAGGCGAGATCGTGTCATACGACTGCTCCGGGAAGCCCAAGGCGGTGGACAGGGCCGAGGTTGTCTGTTTTTTCTTAAAAGCCAAACAGCTTGCTTCAATGCGTTGCTGCGTGTTTAATGTCCACCTGGGATATTAGCAAAGGGGGGGTCCCCCCAAACCTCTCCACCCAAACAATGGCATTAAGCAATCCTAGGTGGACATCAATCTTTTGGTTCAATCCATAAACCAAGTCAGAAGCATAGCGTGATCTGAAACCATGCGCATGGCACGTGCGTGAAGCATGTTCAGCCAGGCAGCCCCACACAAGCTACGCCCGCGTGTGGCAAAGACAGAAGAAGCAAAGGCGGCAGCCGAAGAGCCGAAAGCCCCAGCCGAGTCCACTCCTGCCGTGACCAAAACGGACTCGGCCAAAGTCAAGGCTCGATCCTTGTGATCAAATGAGATGAAGTCGTGTTGACTTGCTGAGGGAATGAGGGAATGACCCCTATAAACCATTTTCTATGGTTTCCTTTAAGGGGATCCCCAGGTTCACCCTCATTCCCTACTGAGCACCAGCAAGTTGAATCTGAAGGTTGCTTTCCATTGGGAAGTTTTGGCAGGGCTGTGATGGATGTCACAGCTTTGAGCTGCCAGGAATCGGCGATGTACCAAGTGGGCCAGAAGGTGGGTAAGTTGGTTTTGGCTGAAAGCTGTCGAAACCTTTCCAGGTGCTCTATCTCAGTGGGCAGCTGAAAAAGTACGTCTTCGCGGACGTGGTGAAGGTGCTGCGGAGCAAAAGTGGTGCCGCTTGCCTGGAACTGGTGGCACGGCCCAGCAATCGAAACAGCTTGGCTTCGCAGTCGAGGTGGAATATCCAGAGATAGCATGCACAACAGAGAAGAGAGGGAGAGGGAGAGTTGAAAAGGATGGTGTTCGAATCTTGGCCCTGGCACCTAGAAGCGCTACTACGACCTGTCCATTAAGAAGTCAGTGCCTGAAGCAAGGCGTGCTGAGGAGTGAAAGAGAGAGAGAGAGAAGCAGAAACCGAAAGAGGCAGAGTAAGACCCAACTGTTTGTCAATTTTGTTTCCCCAAGATGTGTGAGTGTGAAGACAAGCAAGTGTAGACTATGAATCTTGGCTGGTCTCTTCAAAGGATATGTTGTGGCCATGGCGAAGGGCGGCGCAGTTACAACTGCTTTGATTGGGGATGATTACTGTTACAAACATACATATACATATGCATGTATGTCCAAAATGTGCTTTCAGCACGTTCGAAATCCTGAAAAGCGTTGGCCTTTTTGAGGTGGCCAAGACGCCAGAAAAGCTTTTGGATTGTTTGACCCCCAGATAGAGAGCCGAACCCAGGGCTGCTCCCTTTGAGGGAGAAATGTTTTTGTTTTTCCTATTTTTAAGTCTACCCTAGCCAAAAGTGAAACCCTGTGTACATCCATGCACCCAGTACCCTCTCACAAATTAACTGCTGGAACCTGACCGCGACACGGGACCCGGTCCCTAAAAAACATGGTCCAAACCAGGACCCTCCGAACGTCGAACGGCTTCACGTTCTTTGGTGGGAGACATCAATGTGGGGATTGATCAACAGGTCCGGGTGGGGTGACAACTGGTTGGAAGCCACTACAAACAGATGATATGTCCCACATGGGGGAAAGTTGCCCATAATCATGAGTAGTCTAGGAATATTGATAAATCCCCATGTATGTAGGATATTTTTCTAAGCAATCACTATGTGGGTATGGGTCAACATTCAACCACCAGGAATTGGACCGCAGATTTTCGTCCTTGGCTCCATTTACCAAGGTGTCATTTTGGGGTCGCCCCATTTTTGACAACCACAGCCATCTTCTTTCAAGGAATATTGATCAACCCCCATGTAGGACTTATTTTTCTCAGCCACCGCCAAGGACGAAAAAATCCGCGGTCCAACTCCTGGTTGAGTTTTGACCCAGACCCACGTGATTGCTTAGAGACATCTCCGGCAATCAGTATGTTGTTTGTTCAGCTTCTTCCAAGCCACGGCAGGCTCCGGCCGGTGCAGGCGGGGGCACGGAAGGCCAGAACCGCGGAACCCTCTTCGGTGGGCTTGTGGAGGGTATGGCAACCGTGATGTGGCCGTGGTCAAAACCGTTTTGGGATCCCATTTTGGCTTTGGTATATTCACCACCCATAAACCAATGGGATCCCATTTTGGCTTAGGTATATTCACCACATTTTGTTTAGAACCTATTTGGTGGTTGGAATGTTCACGATTTGGCTTTTGACCCATGGCCATGTCGGTGGCTGATGTCGAGGATACCCTATTTTAGGTTGGCTTGAAAAGAAACCTGGCCGAAAACGGTCAGAATACTGCAGGCTATTCTTGCACTGTGCTTTTCGCTTCATGTAGGCCATTGGGCGTTGGATTGCCATTTTCTGTGACTCCAAGGGAATCACGTTTCAAAGTTTCGAGTGATAGAGTAGCCATGGCCCAATCAAGTATCACAGAAAGGTATACTTTCCACCACCATGTTCCTCTTGGCAAGGGGAATGATCCAAAGAAGTGTTTTTGGAAGTTGTCGACTTGCCCAGAGTGCTCAAAGATGAAAACTGGGATTGGGCCCTTCGGTTTTCCTACAAATGCGGTGTTGACATTTGATTGGCGACAAGAAACACGTCACAAAATGGCCGACGCCGGCCACCCACCGCTTCGGCGTCCCCGGTGCTGCCAGGACAGCGAGCCGGAGGCGGAAGGAGCGGCGGAGACAAAGGACTGGCGGCCATTGGCGGTTTCGCCACCTGGGAAACATGCAAGAACATATGTTTCCAGTAGTGAAACCGATTCTCTTTAAAACCAACGGGGGAATTAAAACAAAAAAAAACGCAAATGGAAGACTGGCTGCCAAAAAAATGGCTGCGACCATGGTGTCCTTTTTAGGTGTTTTTGGTCGAATATTTTTTTCTGGTTTACCTGGTGGTTTCATCATCTATCGGGGAAACCCATCTATTTCCCCGAAAAGGACGCTTATGGCTGCCATTTGCGTTTTCGCCACCTGGAAAAAATGAGAGTGAAATCGATTCCCTCTACAACCAAGAGGGGAAAATGAAAAATATTCCTTTCAGCACATGGAAGAGTGGCTGCCAAAAAATGGCTGCGACCAGGGTGCCACTTTTTGACTACCGCAAGGTAGACTCAAACCCCGTTTCCCTTGCACGAAAATTAAACACTCCTTTGGTGTAAGTCGACCTCGGGGTATTCAAAAAAGTGGAACCCTGGCTGCGACACTTCCCGCTTCACATGGCCAGGACGTTGCCAAGACGCATGAATCTCCGAGAAAGAGGCAAGCATCGCTTGGTGGCTCACTGTCACAAGGGCCGGATCACCTGGGCTGGCCATAAAAGTGGCCCTGACGGAACGTAAACACGCGTTTCACGAGTTTGAGCCAACTGCGTGTCGTGTGGCCTGCGCAGCATGTCGGACATCGTTAGGCGAATGCACATGCGCTGACAATCTGATACAACGAACACAGGCGAAAATTTGGTTCCTACAGTGGATGGAGGACATCTGTTTCGCACCGTTCAGAAACCATGAATGATTGGATTCCCCTCTTAAAGGCGGTAACAAAGGTAAAGGTGATGGTTTCCACCTTGGTTTCATTTCGTGGTGCGAAGGGATTTCGCTGTTCATCCGTGGTGTGTGTTGAAAAACGTTCATTTGGCTGTGGGTCAACACCAATGGGATCCCATTTTGGCGCCACCCATTTTAGTCTATAGTGGGGATTGGGATGTTCACTGGGGGTACGATTTGGCTTTTGACCCATTTGATGCCTGGCAGGTGGAGTCCCTCGCAGGTGCCGAAGGTGCCACCTCCGCCCCCGAGCGATATGGCCCTGGGTTCCGACGGCCCGCCGGGGCCGCCCAGCCCTTGAAGGAAGCTTCGAGCTGAGCGCGCGCGCCGGAGTCTCACCGAAGGCAGCGCACGTTGGCTTTTGGAAAGAGGACCTTGGCCTTGGATGGGAATGTCTGCAGGAGAAGCCGGGACCCAAGGCCCAAGGGCCCAAGGGTCCAAGGGTCCAAGAACCATCCAAATCGATGTCCTTTAGTTTTTCTCAGTTGTCCAAAGCGAATCGACCTTTTGACCTGTTGCTTTTCCCATTTTGGTCCATTCTTAGTCCTGGCCCCAAAGGTTAACCTTTTATTTCCGGCTCCTTTGGGCAACTGAGGCATGCGGTGTTCTGTTCCCGCAGGACCATAGGAGAGTGATGCATTCGGCGCTTCACCCTCCCAATGTTAGTGGCACAGGGGTTCCCTGCAAGAGAAAAATGATCTTCCACATCTCCCACAAATGCTATAGCCGGAGGAAGGGTATATATTTTTAACCAGACCCCTTAGCCTTGTGGACCAAAGGCTGACGTCAAGGTATCGATGGCAGGTCGTTTGGTTCCGCGCCAGGTGTGAATTGGAGCCCAAGGCTGTGCAGGAGGAGCTCCCGGGGGCGCGGGATTTGTGTCCAGGGTATCTTGGACTGCTATTGGGTTGGATCTTGAGACTTTAACTTCTTGCGAAATAAAGGTGTTTTCCACTGAACCCCCAAAAAGTTAAACTTTTTGCAGGGGGGGCAACATGCAACCAAGTTGGTTTTCCTGGTTCAACCAACCTCGAGGGTTTGAAACGTAACATGCTGCATGTTGCAAGGAGCCTTTCCCATGACCCGGCCTCCGCCAACTTTGGGAAACTTTTGTGAATAAAGAGGTCATTTATCAAAGAACAAAATAAGAAACCTAAACAAATGGTTGGCTTCCTTGTGGCTTCCCTTTAAGCAAACTCCAAATGGGGCATCCTCCAATTAGAGACGCTCATATTGATGTGCTTAAATGCGAATCATCAGTGTGTGAATTGGCGCATGGGTTCAACCATCCCGCATACAGCAAAAGCGCCACAGAGTCGGCGAGCAGTACCTCAAGGAAACCTCCAAAAGAGGCTTGTCGCCTGCTTTGCACCAGGCCACCTTCATGGCGTACACCCGACGGGTTGAGCGTCCCTTGGTCCTTGCGCATCATTCATCCATTCTGCTTTTGGCATGTGCGTGCTGTGAGTTCTGGAGTTTTACATGCCAGACACTGCCAGGCCAGATCTCGTCGATGAAATGAAGGCTTCGGGCATGCTGGCATGAAGTTTGCAAATTCGCACCGTGCCCCTGTAGAATTTGTCGAGCCTTTGTTTCGGTAGAATCTGCATGTCCATTTGGTCGAGACTCAGAGCACTGCTCGACTCGGCATGCAAGAAGTATGCACCAGAGCCGCCAGGAGGAGATTGCACGCAGCCCAGAGGAGAGACATGTAGCGGGGTAAGCAGAAGCTGCGCATGAAGTGGGCAGCCGCTTTTTGTGCTTCATGGGAAGCAGGGACCGCCGAAATGGGGGGCTTCAGTTTCCCTCCTAGGTCCCCCAGCAGCGGGCCCTTTCTCACCCTTTTTCTGGGGGAGGGGTCTTTGTATTGAAATAGACTACGGACAAAAAGTGGGTACCCTTATTCTGAGCTCAAAACTGGAGGACCTAGCCTTTAAAACCACCCAACACCATACATCATCTGCAAGGGCTTCTTAGCTGGACGCCGAGGCCCGGCTGCAAGGTCAGGCGCACACCTTGGAAACAGAGCGGGGGGGCGCGGTTCCACACACACACACACACACACACACACACACACACACACACACACACACACCAACACACCAACACACGTATATATATATATATACATATATGGGGGGACCCGGGGACCATAGACGCTGGACCATATATATATATACATCTATTTCTATGTCATGTATAAATACATTGTTTTTGTTTTTCGTAAGAAGAAACATACCTGCAGAACGGGCCAGGAGGACTTGAACCTTCACCCTCCGTCCCCGAAGTCAAGGAACGATGCGCTGCCAGTCCCCAAGAGATTCGGCCACGCAAAATAGACCAAGTGCCTGTGAACATGTGGTGATTTCTGGCCCTTGCCAGTCCCATCTGTGCAGGCAAGCTGCAGGGAACAGGGCAAGCCATACCCTGTGCGCAAACTCACCTTCCACCCCACCCTAGCACGCAACAATGCCCCCCCAACCAGCATGCCTGTACACTAACCGGGGATCACCTCTGAAGTGAGGACCTATGGTCATGGTTCCCTCTTTCCAAGAATCATCATAACGGTCAAGAAGGATCCTTGCTAGGCTTGGTGGATGATCATCCCGGTTAACCCCGAGAAAAGGAATGTGTGTGGGTGCGTGCGTGCGTGCGTGCGTGCGTGCGCGCGCTGCGCGC